AACAATGCACGCACATTTAAAGCAGCAATATTACAAACATGGATATTGCAAGTTCCCACCGGAATTGACCAAGCTAAATTTTGTTGGAAAAAATAAATGTCAGCTTATATTTTTGGATGAGTTTTCTGCTGTAAGAGACGTATATCTATTATTCAGCAACTCATAGACTTTGCAGAAACAGAGCACTCATCCCTAAATAATACACTTGTATTGCACAAGGTGGTTTGTTGACAACATAATACTTGTCATTAAAATAGAAAAAAATGTAGTCAGTTTCTTCCTCTGAATTTTTCCAAGCCATCTTGTGCCCTGACTGCCTTTGCTCTCGTGCATCAGAGCTGCAGCCCCTGCCCCACAGCTGTGCGAGTGGGCTGGCTGTGGACAGAGCTCCAACTTGCATGAACACAGATCAGCAAAAGAATCTCTCCATTTCTGAAACAACACGGTATGTCATTGATTATTTCTTTTTTGTGTTCCAAACCTCTCAAACTGCTCTCACAAGTGTTCAGCTTTGCATCCTGGTGTCATTTGTTTGCCCAAATGAAGAAGCTTGCTGTCCCTGTAGATGATGTGTTTTGGAAACACCTCCTGAAGTTCTTACTCTCACAAGAGCAAGATACAACTGTCTATTCTGTAGCAGAACCTCAAATCTACTGGCCTGGCCTAGCTCACAGCTTGAAGTGCATGTTTCTTCTGGGGGTCATAGGGGAATTGAAAAGGCTTTTTGGCTTGTACACAAAAGAGGGCTAGCATATGTAGACCCCCGATACTTGGCTTCAGATAGATATGAAGGGACAGATGAGGGTAATAAAGAGGGATTTTAACTTTTCCTTTTTAAGCAAGTGATATGTTTAGTCTCTGCAAATATGAGAGAAGGTAGCTAATGCTTTACAAACTGGGAGATGTGATTTCTGTTTCACAGGTTATCAGATGTTCATATGAACATACGGTACTGTGGTCTCAAGTCCATATCAAACGTAAGCTGCAACTAAGCAAAACTTTGTTCATGAACTGAGAGGGGGGTGGGGGTTGGAGGGGAAGTGTAAAAGAAGGCTTGATGCAAGTTTGGAAAAACCAAGTAAAAACAAATCAACAAAAAACATCCAGTTTCAAGAGTGAATCAAGAGTGAGGTTAGTTTTTGTCATCAAGTTAATGTGTGAACAGAATAGGAAAGAAAACAGTTAATGACACTTCGAGGGAGGCATAGAGACTCATTACACATTTCAGGTGGCTTAGAGTTAATGGCTGTGGGTGGAAACCTCATTAATAAGATTTTACTTCAGATGAGCCTTCCATGGTATTTTAAAACTGTTGGTGTTTAGACAGCAGTAAGGGAGTCCTGCCTGTTCCTGCCTGAACTCTGCCAGGTAACGTACAGAAGTACAGCACTGATGAAATTAATTCATTTTGGTGCAGCAAGTCTGTGCAAGGTTTCCGTATACAGTGTTGAATATAGGAAGGACATTTTTACCATTAGAGAAGCTCAAGGGCCTACACTTTTTATTTCTAAGTAACTAAATGACTTTCTAAATTTCTAAATGACTTCTGCTGAGCTACTGCAATAAGATAAGCTAACTAATGCTTTTGTTACTGACTTTAACATTATTAAAGCAATTCTGGTAACAAAACCCCACCACCAACAGGCAATGCTAGTAAAAGTGACGTGGCAATGAACATGAAAAGCTGCCTCTTGTTATAGCAGAACACAAAAGCAGCACGTAGAGAATTGATTGCAGGCACAATTCTATTTCCAGCAATTGTTTTTAGCTGAAGAGCTGAAGGGTTTTCTGTTCCTTTAATGGAAGATTAATGGAGGAACAAAGACTTACCCAGCTATAACAGATGCCAAGGTTTAACTGGTCTGTGCAGTTGCATTTAGACCTTAAAGGTTTCCACAAGATAAGGCACTGGAATACTGGTGGCAACACTGTGAGGGAAGAGGTTTTGGTTCCTTATCAGCATTTCCATCAAGCAGGAATCACAGGCCATAATCATGACTACACAAATGTCAGCATTAAAATCAAATGTGAGGTATTTTCTCACTTTTTTTCCAAACTACTAGAATAAATGGAAGGTCAATGTCTTATTTTAAGTTGCTAATTTTAGTCCCTTGTTCTGTTAATTTGAATCAGTGTTGTAGCATAAGTTCATTTATTTAAGCACTTCAGCATATGAACCATGCTTTAGGAATGCCTATGAAAACATTAGCTAGTTAAGGTGGTTAAAATACTGGGTTTGGATAAATCTTTAAATACTTAAATAAAGCTTTGTATTTATGTGATCACAAAGGCATACATTTGCAAGTAATGTACTTTGTGACCACATTCCCAGTTAGCTGCACAAAAAACCCACATCAGATTGCAGCAAGGTATTTCTTAGATATATCCAGCCTTTCTTGAAACCAGTTTTTCTTTCCTGAAATGGTTTTTGTTTGCAAAGGTGACCATGTTACAGAGGCAGTGATGTGCTGTAGCATGGTATGTTTTTTTGATTCAGAATCACCTATAATTTTCTTTGGGTTAGAGACTCTTTTCCTGGTTGAATTACAGACTGAAAGGCTGACTCTCATTATTTAAAGAGGCATAAAACTTTAAATGCAAAAAATTAGTTTATGTTCTACAATCTTCCACATAAACCATCAAAGAATTAGGAAACAGCATCATTCTCCTATGTATCCTCCCACAGAGGACTCTTCTGCCCTACCTTATCATTTAACTGAAGCATACTGGAAGGAACATTGCAGTACTATAACACATAGCTATAAAGAGGTGCAAATATCCAGCACCTGGTATTTACCGAGTTTCCTTTTACTGTAATTTTCTTGTGGAAGAGAGAAACTTGTTCTGTCTGGCAATTTAAGTAAATAAGACTACTGTCTTCATTTTAGTATTATAATGGTTGATAATTTGGGATGAAATTGTTAAAGCAGGTCAGGGAATCAGAATAGAATTTGGATTCCTGCTGGGTAACACTCAACTGCCTACCCCTGAAGTGCTACAATTGCAGTACAGAGATATGGCAGGTTCTTACTAAAGCTTTGTACTATGTTCCCTTATTGACACTGTATCTCATGTTCCGAATTTCAGGCTTTTATTCTAGTTCTTCACGTGTTTCTTTCTCATACAACATTGTTAGCAGATTATCTTAAGTGAAGAAAGGCAATGGTTTTGGTCAGTATCTTATTCCTCAAAGTCTGTATTTCTGCTGAATAAAACTAGGAAATAAGTAAATATATGGTTTGGACAGATCACAGAATGCACAGCAAGGTTTCTGCTGGAATACTGCACTAGTGGAGATGTGAGGTTAGAAAAGAATTGATAGGATAAAAGTCAAAGAGTTTTGTTACAGAGTTGTACTGGGAAACTAGCATAGCATCTGTCCTCCATGCCTTTTTTTAAGACTTATAAAGTCCATTTCTTCAATTAAAATAAGCTCAGGTAACAGAACGTAATTCAACATCTGTTTTAATAACATCCTCTTCAAGCAAACTGGAATATGGTACTTTCCATAGAGTAGGAGGACAAGTTACATCATCTGGATTTTTCATATATGTTGTTGATTTAAAAGGACTGACTAATTAGTTGTTGATGGGTAGTGCTTGAATTCAAGTATGCTAGACAGCATTTAGAAGGGGGTGAGGGGGAAGGGAAGAAGACATCTTTTTCCTGTTGAAATAGGCAGGACAAGCAGATGCACAGCAGCCTTTAACTCACATTCAACCAAGTTATATTATATTCTTACTTCCTATCATGCAATTCTGCAAGTTGGGCTGAAAAAAAAAATTTGATCACCTCAGATTTACCTGTAGTACAGAGGAGGAATTGAAATATTGAAGTAATGTCAGCCTAATTCAGAAAAAGCGTAAGTACAGTAATCCTGGAGGAGAAATGACCGGAAGATTAATACAGTGGTCTTCTTTCATAAACCCACAATATTTAAACATTCATCTTGCAAAAATCTAGACACAGGTCTAGGAATAAAAAATAAAACAAAGGATTGCCAAGCACCAAGTTCTGGAAGACTTTTCAAAAAGAAGTTGTCTTTGCGTACATCCATTAAGTCTCTAAAACCACCAGACAAACCTTGTGCATAGAATATTTATAAATATTGTAGCAGTGGTAGTGGTTAGCAGGGCTGCAGAAAACAGAAAATCCAGGGGTTGGTCTGTATCTTTAGGGAATTTATGAACTCCTGTATTTTTTGCATGTTGGTTTGGTGGCGGTAGTGGTGTGTATGCCCAATGTTAAAACTAAATGCATGAGCCCCTTGCTTGATGCCCCACATAAAGCCAGATACTGGGGAGGTTGCACCCAACTTTTGTTGTTGCTTCCTGATGTCGTGCTGTTTGACATAGGACATCAACATCGCAGGAGATTGGATGTCACCAGCTTGCTGTTCACTGTTAACATTCAATTCTAATCACACAACTTACAAAACTGTCCAGTCTCCTTCGAATGCCATGTCTCTGCTATGGTTTGCACCTTACTAGGATTCATTTATGGTCAATAGTGCGGTAAGAGCTCACAGAGGCGCTCACTTTTTTGTCACACTGCATTACATAAACTAAATTCTGATGTAGCCAGAGATGGACACTTGCTCTGAGAACTCAAGTCTTCACGGGCTGATGTATTTCCAGTCCTGGCACTTATCACTCTTTTCAGTTGTACAAATGCATTCTTGGCTTAGTGGAGACATGTGTTACTGGGAGCTGAAAGTTTCTACAAATTTAGAGCACCCCTTGAAGTACTACTACAGAAATAAATGAACTCTGTATGCCAGCATGATCTTTAAACTGCATAAGGAAACTGGTACTTGGTATTATGCCATGGAAGGCATGCAACCAAATTCCCTAGAGTTAGCCATTGGAAAAGTTACTGGTTAAACTGTCTCTGTGTGAGCTTTTACTTTACTATGACCTTAGCAATGACTTTGTTCTTGTTATATCTAACTAATGTCTTGCATTTTTCTGTACTCATCTCCTTTTGATGCAACCTGGAAGAAATGTCAAAAAACGAAGGTTCGATCCGACTCAACAAGGCCCTATCTGAAGAGATGCCATTCAAAAAGCTGCTTCTTGCACTGCTGGATTTTGGGTATGATGTCTTTGCTGTAGCTGCACAGGAACTAAGTCTGTAAGGACAAACTTGAGAAACAGTAACTAAACACAATATTGGGATGTTGGCATTTGAGTTGGTAGAACACTGTCCTTTTTGGAGATAAGTTGGAAATACTTCCTCTATTCACCTTTCTCTTGTTAACATTAACTGACAAGTGTTACAAGCAAACTGTTTCAAAAATCAGGTGTTTTTTTTCCTTTTCTCAAACAAAGGAGACACACAGACCAAGTGCAATAAGAGAACTGTTCCAAAATAACGGAATAGCAGAAGATTCTTTTCCCAGCCTGCTGGCACTCTTAACTTCACTTGAGTTCGCATGACTTCCTTTTTCTTATCAAACTCCAGTGGCATGAGGAGCTAATTTTGAAAGGGTAACCTGCATGGCTCACATACAAACAACCAAGTTAGCAAGCTGACCCCAAGCAGAATCTGCAGCCCAATAAATACAAACCACTGGGAAGCCAGTGCCAGGCTTCAATAGCTTTTCCAGCCACGCAGTGCATTCTGCTGCTGGACTTAAGGGTTCCCTGCTCCATGAGCTCGCTGTTCACCTTGTTTCGGTCTCCTAGGTCAGGAGTCTGTTAGTTATGGAAGCTAGTGAATGATGGATGGAATTTTTCCAAGAAAGAAAAAGTGTAAATATGGAAATAAGATTTTGATGTATCATTTTCACAGATTATATATAAATATATATATAAAAAAGAGAAAAGAATTTCCATATAAAAAGGTTCTATTCTTTATGTAAATCTATTTTTGATGTTGGGTTTGGTTTTGGGTTTTTTTCCTCCCCTTTTTTTCTGTAGCATGTTGTATAGCGGATGTTCTGGGCTTGCTCAAAAAAAGGCAGATAATAGCATGCAGATGCAGGGAGTTCTGACACCAAACAGATGTGATCTAAAGTTTGTATGCTTGAAACCAAAAACAATTAAAATGTATAAATGCATATCTATGTATTGACTATAAGTCTGGATTACTTTTTTTGGCTGTTATGCAGACTTTTCCATAATATAGTATAAGTAACACCCTCTCAAGATAATCACAGAAGTGCCAAGCTCTTCTTTTTTTTTTTTTTTTTTAAAGTATAGCTAGTTTTTTTCCTGTAAAATAAAAACTTATATAAGCCTTAAACTACTCACAAAATGTTAAAAGCTTGGAATGAGTTATCCTTCCCTTGCCTTCTGCCCATCCACTCAAAGCAACTTGCAAAGGTGACTGACATTTCTAACTCACTCCCTGTATCTCTGATGCATCTCACTTTTCAAAGTTTAATGCAAGATTAATACTTTGACCCTTGGCTACTGGTAGCCAGTTACCATCACAACAAAGTGCCATGTAATTTCAGTTGTAATGACTTTTAGATACACCCTGTGTACAAGCAGATTTTTGCAGAGAAGTGCCCCAGGAACCAGGCTAAGTCTGGCTGCATCTGCCTTGAGAAAGGTATGGGAAGATGTCTAGTTCAGGCCTCCCTAAAAGTATAGAGCTGTCCAATCTGGCTTATAAGTCATCTTGACTTAAAACTTAGGTAGTTTGGTTTGTGTAAGTAAAGTGACATGAAAATTTAATTCCTGCATCTGATAATTGGAATTAAAGACTTTTGTAATTTTGGCTTTAATGTAAAGGTTGAATATTAGTAACAAGAGAAGCCCAGTTACACTACTTACTCCATCTTACTTCAGTGAAATCCATTACCCAAGTTAGCTTTAAGAGCCAAAACATTAAGAAAATGCTGCAGATTTCCTCTGACTTAGAAAACAATTTCAGTTATTTTTCTTATTACGATAATGTTCAATTCAACACTCTCACAAGAGAGCTACAATATATTGTTTTGCTTGACAGTTATTATTAAATATTTTAATCAGCTTTAACATAATCACATTAACACAACTACATTATGAGTTAAAGGTGCTGTACACAGGTAGTTGACATTACTATAAATTATAAATCTTATTTTGAAAAATTCCTGCCTGGTTTCAAGCAGAATTGCATTAGTGACAGTCCTTTGATGGCAAACCAAAAATACATGCAAGTGTATTATGGTTCTCTAAAAATGCTTTGCTTCATAACATCCAACTTTGTTAGGGTTCTGCTTCCAAAGAAAGCATAAACCCACAACAGAAACACCAGTGGTTACCAACAAGTAAAATAAGTAAAATCAACTGGATATACATAAACTACCTGTGTAATAAACCTTGAAGAAGCATTTCACAAACAACATTGTTAGTGTGTGATGTGATGTTTTAAATCAGACCACAGTGGTCCCCAAATACTATGAACATATGTTCAGTGCTGGAATAACTTTTTTATTTACACCAGCCCTTTCATAGGAATTACAATTTCTTGACTGAATTTATGCTCCACTCATCAGCCATTGTGTGTACATGGAAGATCACATTCGCTTTCTGCCCTGTGTATGCACAACACAAGTGACAACACAGCTCAGAGTAGGTACTGGATGAAGTGCTTCCCATGGCAGTAGATAAAAAACTGGGTTTGGTAGGTGTTAATTTTCTACATTCCACCTTTGCTGTGCTTTGGGAAGTGCACATCCATGTAGTGTTACTTTGTTCATTGCAAAGTGTCATCAAAAGAAGACCGGGTTGACTCTGCCTCCATTTCATCCACTCTACATTTGCTCCATTATTTACCTACTCAGCTGGACAAGAAACTGTGGTAACTGTACAGCTCATTCCAGTTTGCTGCATGATCTTACTGATTTGATCTGATGCTCCTAAAAGAGAAGTCTGCTAGGCAAATTAACAGCTGTATAGGTGCATGTTCAAAGAAAAAGATTACTTAAGGCTGGAGTTTAACCAACTTTTCTTTACTATGCAACGATGGGTATTGCACAAACAGATGAGACAAATGTCTGAGGAAATGCCATAGAATACTTGAAGCTATGTTTTGAGCCTAATCAGTCATGTTTTATATTCATTACTGCTTCCACTGTTACTCTTCCTTTTTAAAATGATTTGTAATTATTTTTTTAAGTGCACAACTTGATGTTGTTATAAATCAAGTTTCTGTTTGAAGTTAATACTCATTCATATCCTGTTGGCTGCTAATGAATGGAAATTCAATAGTCCTTGTTCTGCATCTTAGCAAGATGAGTATTAAAAGTGTCATGAACATGGAATGGAGTAGTTTTTAATTTTCAATATTTTTTTTTTCTGTATTTAATCTCTCAGTTTTATTTGATTTCTGCGTTCAGGGAATCATCACCTGGTAGTGGAAATTGACTGGAGTTTTCCTGTATCAAAGATCTCTAACACTGTGTTGGATCTCACAGCGAGGTTCTGTCTGTGAGAGGACATTGCACGCAGGCTTTCCGACGTGCATGGACCCAGAGCATCGGCACCCAGGGCTTGCCAGGCCTGCTTCAGTCCCAGCTGCTGGCCTCACTCAGTTGAATGAGACCTGAATGCTTTTGTAAGTCGAGGGAAGCCTTTTGCAGCTCAAAAATCCAAATTACATAATGACAAGAAGTCTAAAATGAGGCCTTCAAAGTATTTTTAAAATAATTACATCATAATAACCAGATAATATGGTCATCATTTCAATGGATTATTGAATAAAACTTGGCTTCCCTTTTTGGATTTTTTTCCAGACTAACTTTAGTGATGCCAGCCTGGGAAAACTAAAAGGCATGCATGTCACAGTTACCAGATAACTACTGATATTGTTTTGCTTCCTCCAGCTCCAGACAGGGAAACAAAATGCACTTTTGTCTTAATATCTCCCAAGGTTATGTATGAAAGCATGTTTCTCATTTAGAACTATAGAGCAAGGGAACACTCTCATTAATGGATCCACTATCATCCACGTTTATTTCCTGTCATTTGAATCTAGGACTTTTCTACAAACTCAACACAAACATGCAATGTTTTGGCTATAATTAGAATAGACAGTCATTCCTTAAAATAAGAGTTAAGTCTTTTGCAGCATATGAATAGAAAAGCAATATAGAGATAGATGCATACTGACTTTTATCAGAGAAAAATTCTTAGAATTGTTTTTGAAAACTTTCACAATTACAGCACAAAACACTGAAGAGTGATCATGCTGGGGCACTTAGTATCAAGAACAAAACCAATACAACAACAAGCCATCTTTTACAAAGCCAAAAAATCATCGGTTTTTTTCTAAATACACTTATAATAGATTCCTACCCATGAGAGCTGAAAAGTTAATTTAACATGAATCATCCATCAGTAGTATCACAGAGACTGTTTAAGTACTCTTGGAAATCTTAAAGAAAAAAATAAGTAAATAGGAATTTTAGCAATAGTGATGCTCAAAATGGTACTATTGAAAGCAAAAGGTCACAAAACCATTATCTTAAAGCTGCACATAATTCAGTGCAGTGATTTATTGCTCAGAACTCAGCAAGCATGTTTTGTTGGCTTGTTGAACAAGTTATTTTGTGGAAGCAAGAGGACACATGACCCCCTAGGTAAGTACAAGGACTCCACATCAGACCAGCACTGACATCCACTTAATGTGTTATTACTGAACAAACTCAAACTGGTGAGGGTTGCATAATTCTGAATGCTCTAATTTGTAGAAAACCTGTAACCTGTTCTTGTTAAAATTTTCTTTTAAAAGATCTTGTTTTTGTCAGAAGTCACGAGACACCCCTCATCTTTACCACTAATACTGTAACAGACCATGCTTTAGTGTTCCACTTTCTGAGCCAGTATAAGAATTTCCCCATCAAAGCTGGTAACTCAAGGCATGAAGGAACAAAGTCCTTTTTACCTGCTCTTGCAAGCAGGATGCTGCTGTGCCCAGCATCCATCGTACAGCTCCAGGGAAAACAGGTCAGTTTTCTCAGCACTGAGCTAAGCAGTGCCTCAGTTTCCCAGTAGTACCCCCCAAAGGATTGGGTTTAGTCTGTAGCACTGACCCAGGAACTGATCCTCTTCAGGATACACATGACACTGAACTGCAGAGAGGCAGGATCCGGCGCAAATTTTCTGATCCAAGTCCAGTTCTCAGAAAGATTATATGTATATATCTCATACATTCACAGATTTCCTCACCCATCAGACCAACTATAAATTTATTTTAGAGACTGTGAAACAATATGTTTGCATCTGCACTACATCAAGAAGTTGACAGTTCACTAAACTATGTTTTAACTGGTGACCAAGGTGTGAGCATGACACTGTCCTTACATTACACACTGGTAGTACGCTGTGGTTTATAACATCTGTTTTGCCTCTTCTGCAGAAGGGAAGTGTCCCCACACATAAACACAATCTGCTTCTCTGCAGTCTAACCTGGGCAGTGTCCAGCTGGATAATGACACAAGCAAACAGTGCTTTTGACAGATTTCCTATCTCCAGCTGAGACGGTGACCAGTTTATGCTCAAGAATGAAATGCATCTAAATAACTCAAACCTAGTGCTATTTGCACAAGCGTTAAGAGAAGTTTTAAAATAGTAAGTTCAAGACAGCTGTGCTAAACTTGCTTCCATATAAATTGCAGGAATCACTGGGCTAACAACTGACAGCTCCCAGCTTCCCAGTTTGATTCCTTTCAAAGTATTTTATACATACTGGAAACTAGAATCAGTATCCTTATGCATGTTGCCCTCACACATTAGATCCAAGATATAAATTTAACCATTTGCCTTGAAATAGAGTAAGCACTGACCATATTAATTCAGGATGGTTTTCCTTAGACTGGGCCTTTGGATTGCTGAGGTTTTAAACATCTACTATGTATGTGCTATTTAGAGGGAATCCTTTAAACACACACATTACTTGGGATGCTGTGGATTCACAGCACAGTGAAACACTCCTAATCAGTATGTAAAAGCTTTACTGTTCCAGAAAAGGAGTAGTTAGTATTGCAGAAACCTGAACAGATCTACGCCTACTGTCTAATCCCGGTGAGGGGGCACCTGGACGCCTTGTGGAGCTGCAGCACAATCAAATATTCACAGTACTTGTAACAGCAGAGGTATTTTCTTAGAGACAAATGCCTCTTCCCCTCCCAGCAGCACCAGCTGATTTTCCTAGGACCCTGCAGCTTTTACTCAGCATAGACAACATCCAAGCACACTTGCACAAAGGTAATGGGAGCTGGGCTGAAT